AAAAAAAAAATCCACAAAGCCAGGGCCCACATTTGGGTCTCTAACAAAGTCTCGTTGGCAACAGCTGGCTTCACCCTCAGAACTGGGTCCAACACGAATGTGGATATTTTCCTACACTGCCACGTGCTGAAGAGAAAACACATGATGAGAGGGTAAAGAGAGGGCCGGGGATTTAGCTCAGTGGTGCCACTGTCTGCCTCACAAGGGTAAGGTCCTGAGTTAAATCCCTAGTACCACTCCCCCTCCAAAAGAGGGTAAAGAGAGAAAATCAGGCAATGCCCAGAACCTAGTTCTACCACAAGGTTCACCAGTACCCAGGGACCTGCGATAACGGCTGGACTCTGACCAAACCTAAAATTCTCGGACAGCTGTTTCCCACGAGTAGGAAAGAGTTCTGTCATTCCCTGGGCCTTCAGGGACAGCCCTCGGCTCATCAAAAAGCACATTCAAAAGTAAGCACAAAAGAGTTCCAACACTGGACCATGACATGGGTGAGGAATGTTAATGCCTGTATTTAAGAAAGTAAGTCCGGCACACTTTGTTAAACAGTGTTTTTAATCACCAGTCCTTTGTTTCTATTACAGTAGTACATGTCTGTGATGCAGGGATGCATTTATCATGGAATTATTGGTGCTTTGAATAAAAAGCCTATTTTACTAAATTAAACATACATCATTTTTCTTAAACATAAGCTATCTGCTAGATTTGAGTTCGTCCTCTAGTTTTCAAGCATGATGACTCATGGTGACCTCTTTTCTCTTTTCCACTCAAGGATTCATTGGCTTAATTCTCAGCACTTTAAGAGGACTCACCTACGTCCTCAATCATGTACACAGGTGTAAAACTACACCACCTTCTCTTCTGAAATATGATTTTTTTTTAAACTGCGGTGTAATCCTCCCTCAGAAAACCAGACTTAGGCAGCAGGGGCAGTGGGAGCCATAAGATTCCGCGCAGTCGAGGAAGGCTGATATCCCCATGAGAGTGTTGGTATTTAAAAAGCTGTGGAGAGCAGCTGAGGAGAGGAATTTTGGCTCTGGATGAAGTTGGCCCATACTACTGCTTAGAACAGAACATCAGAAATAGGTAAAAAGCCTCTGTCCTTTTTCTTCTGTAATCCCATTGGGGGCAAAAGTGTACATGTGTGTTTTGAATGGAAGAGGCTGATTACAGAAAGAGTTTTACAAACGTTTGTGTTCTGGGATGAGTATGGCTTTAGAATGTAAGAAGCTTAGAAAGTTCCTTGTAAGAAACAGTTTCGCCCTCTGTTGGATCAAAGAAACACAGAAATGTCTGACTACAGGGACAGGAGCAGGAAGTGCCCAGTTTCTCCCCGTTTTTCTCCTCCACGCCAGTCTCACAGCTCTGGGCCCTCAGGGGGCAGGGAGGGGGCGCCCAGCGCAGCACCTGCCAGGAATCAAGCACCTCTGAGAGCCAGTGGCTGATCTGAATCTTGCACCTGTCCCTCACGAAGCACCACTGGAAAAATGAACTAATAAAACTTCTTTGGGTATAATGAAAGATAGTTCTCTATGCAAATGGCTTCAAAATATGAAAAGAAAAAAGAAAGAAAGAAAGAAAGAAAGAAAGAAAGAAAGAAAGAAAGAAAGAAAGAAAGAAAGAAAGAAAGAGAAAAGAAAAGAAAAGAAAAGAAAAGAAAAGAAAAGAAAAGAAAAGAAAAGAAAAGAAAAGAAAAGAAAAGAAAAGAAAAGAAAAGAAAAGAACCTCACGGTCACATTTTCCAAGAAATCCAGTAGAGGTCGAACATTACTTTGCAAGCAAGCAAACCAACGAACCAGCATGAGAGAGAAAACAGCAACGCTCTGGGAAACGCCCATGAGACGTCAGGCCCTGTCAGTGCGTGAGGCATCCTGAGAAACTTCACCTTCGAGGTTCAAGTCACCACTGCCCTTCACCTGGAAAGGGGGAGGGAGAGGAAGGATCCCTCATTAAACTGAGCTGATGGATCTTCAATTAATTCACTCTAGGGAAGGCCTAGAGAGACCTATGAACCAAAAGTTTAAGATTTTGAGTTAATTTTAGCCACTTTAGTATGGTGAAAAATTGCCCGAGTTTGGTAAAATGCAGATTCCCAAGTTCTGGTTTTCCTAGGTAGAGAGAGGTTGGGCATAGGACTCCTCATTTTGAAAGCACCTCTCCTGTCCAACCTGGACTCTGACATGGCTGGAGTGTGGCAGGAAACAGGCCATTGCCATCACTGTGCTGCCTGACAAGGGCCCAGCTGGGAGGGGCCGGTCCGACCTTCCCACTGCAGCCTTGGCCACCATGGGTCAGGAGACCCATCTCAAGGTGAAGGGAAAGGGACAAGTTTGTCATCCGTGAGCTTTCATTGCCTGTTTTTGCTAGGAAACACCATGACACCCACCACAGGCACTAAAACGAGGCCTCACACATTACATTCATAATGAGAGCAGTGCTGGCTCAAGGCCATGCGCAAGTGTATCCCAGGCACTCCAAGACCATTCACTAGACATGCGAACTTGCCTGGGGCTTGACTCAAGAGTCCAGTGAGGCCAACCACACTCAGTAAGGTCTCAGGTGAGCCTATCCAGCAGCGCTGGTGTTGACACTTTCACCACACTCCATCTGGGCGATGTGGGTTTCAGGCACAGGGGGTGTCGTGGTATTTGGAGAAATAACATCTTCTAAAATGCATCTGGGCAAGCTTAAGTGCTGCCCAGCCGGGAAAGTTCCAGAACGTCTGAGGCCCCTGTGAGTGACTCCCCAAGGGTACACAGGCCCTGGCCCTCACAGATGCTGTGGGACACACAAACTATGGCAGCTCTGGGGGGAAACCGAGTGGGACTCTGAGCGGGGCCCCTGGTGACAGGATAGATGCCAGACACCACCCGTTGCTGGTCACAACCTGGGGGGGGGCAGGGGACACTGCTGTAGTTTCTGGTCCCCTCAGGACAAGAAAACCCTGTATCTCTGAGCTGAAGAAAAGCTCTCACTCATCTGCTTAACAGTGCAAACTTCAAATATGTCTGTCTTACTCATTCAGTGCAGACTTAAGGGAAAACATACTCTTGTTAACATAAACAGTGCCTTTGGGATGGTATTTACACGATGATAACTGTACTGCAGACACTGTGATGTCCTGGAAAGGTAGGCATTAGTCTCAAAGAGTGGCTGCCATTCTTACAGCCTCGATAGCTGTCTCGTGGTGATCTGGTTACTGGTACTATATCCCTAGAGAAGGATGCTTTGCCAGCCCCCATAAGGAACAGAGGTCTGGGCCTCTTCTCCTGTACCCACGGCAACAGGATAAATGCCACAACTGTTGGAGTCTGACTCAGAGAGTCTTCATTTCAGACAATCAGCCAGTGCTACCTAAAAAAATACCTGCCCTGTGCCATACCCTGTCTTTATTGGAATTTAAAAATAAAAAATTTTAAACCCTGGGCTTTTGCCATCAGGTAATTTACCATCAGGTGAGAAGTCCATACTTTGACATGTACTGTTCTACAACAGATGAACCACTGTAAGAATGTAAGCCCTCTGTGGGGAGACTCAGGCCAAAGGAGTGACTGAAGTGAATGTGAAAAGGGACGTTGGGAACAATGGTCCCCAGGCTCCTAGAATGCATGATTAAGTTTAGAGTAGATCTGCAGGACAACAGTCAGCAGAATTTGAAGTGAGTTATTCTCAGAGATGTTTGCTTTGGCCAGTGTACTCCTTCAGGCCCAATAAGCTTGCTTAGATAGACATGTCACGTAGCAGACCATCCCATTCCTTCTCTGTCCCATGGCCAAAACTAGACAAATGTTGCAAATGTTTTTTCTTCTGCATCTTTGTTCTCACCTCCTTGAGTTACAGATAAATATCCAGAGGCTTCCGCATGGGGCTGTTTCCCTCAGGCTTTTTCTTTCAGAGAAGCAGCCTCTCTAGGCTTCTCTCCCAGTGATTAAGTCTTGTCTCTCAATCTGTCATCCTCTGCACCACCTCAGTCACATACCATGACACCCCCAACTAGGCCACCACATACAAGCCTGGCTTAGTGTCACCGCTCCAACTTCCCCAGACGGCTGTCGGCCATCATGAACAGGAAGTAAACCACAAACACACTGGGAGAGGGGCCTGCCAGCAAGCAGCCTGGAGGCCACCAGAGGGGTAGGACAGAGATTCCAGGGCTGGCATCTTGACACTGCCACCTCCAGGCTGTGAGGCTGGAAGTAGGTTCCTCACCTCTGCATCAGCATTCCATTTGACAGAGGAGGGGGAAACAAATCTGACACGTGGGAAGAACAAGGAGTTAATGAGTGTAAAGCAGCCATTGCAGAACCTGGCCAGTACCACAGGCTCAGCAAACATGAGCTGCTATTGTTATTACTGTTGCTATTATTGTTGTTAGTTACCACCTCCCATCAGATCTGTGGTGCCAGCTATGCCAGGATTCCGAGTCACTTGGGCAGAGCACTAGTCATTTGTGTCCCCTCCTCTGAACCCTAACCTCTCTCCACAGGATCTGGTTGCCCCTTCTTTTTTCTGTCCCTTCGCACCCTCAGATGCTTCTCCTTCCTTTTCTCCCGAGGCCTCTGTGGTGGCCACCTCCTCCCCTTCACGCTCCCAAACCCAGTAGGCTAAGTCATGGCTGCCCCCAGGGGCTCAGGCTCGGGGCACGATGGGGGCAGCTCACTGCTCAGACTCCGACGTGGAACATCCCCAGTCCAGAGCACCAGGCCTGACTCTTGGGAGAACGACCATTGTGGTCATTGTCCCTCTTTTTGCCTCCCCTGCTTTAGACTGAAGAGGAATCGTCTTAGGTTGCATGTAAAACATATAATATAGTTAATGTATATAAGTAACAAAACCTTTTAAATATTTTTTATTATAACTGGGAAGGAAGAAAAGGTGGGCCACAGGTGGGACGTGCCTGTAGGTGGCCTTGGGCACTAGTACATCTGCGACTTCCTCCAACAGAAATGTGGAAACCACTGACGCTGTCAGGTCACAGTCCCAGTATTGTAGGTGTCTTAAAATTGTGCCTTCAGTCTTGCCTCCTTTGAAAGGAAAATTGCAGACTTATCACTAGACTTCATATCATTTAATGTGAATTAAAAAGCTTACATATTACTGGACCACACGTTTTTTAAAATTTCTGTCAATTTCAATCCCGTTGGTTTCTTTGGTAATCTTGCATTTTGTGCATTTAAGATACTACTCTGAGAAGGGGTCACAGGTTGTACAGCCCACTACTGGGGTCCACCCGCTCATCTTAGGAGGCTGAGTACCACTGACAAGGGCTGCAGTACTGGAGAGGCGGAGGGCGTAGAAATGCTTACTGAATTGTGACATTATAATATTCTTCAGGTGTCACTATTTTGGGTCCACCAAAGTAGTCCATGACCCAGATATTGGTTATATTCAACTTAGCGAAGAACCAGTTATGGCTGGAAGGCCAGGTTTTCATCTCGGGGTGACGAGTGAACAATGAATGCTTTGCAAAGTCCACTTCTGTTTCATTCACCTAAAAGACAAATGTGAAACAAACATTCTAATAGCAACGACATTTTCTTTTGTCGTTTGTTAAGAATGCGTCATCCTGGCACCTGACAAATAATCTTGAGTTCATTCTGTAAATCTGGGTATTAACCTTAAGGAGTCAAGAGCACATAAAGGAAGGCTGAGGAACACAGAGAACCAAGATGCTTTCAAATGTCTGCGATAACAGGTACAGCGAAGTGGGAACCATCCTAAGTATGAGTTCCCGCTGCTAAACAGTAACTCTGAGCTACTCCACCGACCAGGTACAAGGCACCATCGTGAAGTGCCACAGGCGCCTGAGACGTGTGCTCCTAACCCGAAACACGCATACCTGTGTTAGACATGTGTGTGAGCGTACAGGAAGGGTAAAGGTCTGCAGAAGCACCACAGTGGACGGTCAGTAACAGAGATGCACCTGCCAAGAATCTCCAGACCACAAATCAATTTTGTCTGAGGTATTCTTTTTGTTTGTTTGTTTTGGTACTGGGGATCGAACTCCGGTCCTTGTGGTTGCTGCTTGCGGGGCAGGCAGCGGAACCCCTGAGCTAAATCCCCGGGCCCTGTCTGAGGTAGTCTCGACTGACAAGGTCCAAAAGCCAATCCACTGGCTCAGCCCTCGGATGAGGGCTCAGCACACCTCGCCCACTGCCCTTCCTGTGAGTTTACGGAACATCCCCCCCACCCCCGCCAGCATCCATTCCAAACTCTCCGACTTCCCTTCCCCTTTTCAGTAATACGACACTCCTCTTTGTGGCCTCTTAATTCCCTCTCTGCTCTCCGCCCCTGAGAAAGTGCAGTGAGAGGCAGCCCGGACGTGGGAAACGCGGCGAGCACGTGAAACATGAGGATGTTCCTCAGCAGGGGTAACTTTACAGGGAGCTTTTACACTTGCTACATCCATGTGGCTTCAGAAAAGACTCCATGTTCCTCATAAACATCCCGCTGAACACCTTCATGGCAGCAACTGATTAAACCTTTGGGTTTCCTGGAATTAGCTTACATATCAGAGCATATCCTAAGTGGGCATCGGGTGTATTGCAGTCTCGAGAGATCTCGACTTTCACTGTTCCCACCGTGACGCTCTTCGGAAGCCACATGTCTTCGCGCGGTTGACTGCTTACCTTGGTCAGAGCTCCAGAAAGCATGATGTGAGCGCACAGCGGGCTCTGGGGATCAAACACATTCCTCTTGCAGAAGTCGGTCTGTGCCAAAGACATGGTCAGTGAGGCATGTGGATTCTCCTGCAGAGGGAAGACGAAGACCCTCTCGCGTGAAATACAGTTTCCAGAGATGCAATACATTTTTTTGAGATGCACACATAATGGTCCCAGAGCTGGAACCATTCTTCCATGAAACAGTGCACTGTAAAACACCACCTTCCACACGGGGAAATACCACTTGGGTACAGACTGATTTGACCCTCTCAGATTTCATACTGAAAATTAACTCTCTAAGAACTGTTTTAAAACACTGTTTTCTTATACTCAAAGTCAGTTCCAAATACTTCAGAGGAATTATAGTTACAGCCCATACCTCCCCAATTTGAGGCTGGTAATAGACCCCACTGAACGCTCCAAACTAGGGTTAACCTCTAACATGAAACAAGTACATAGAAATGCCACAGTTGCTCTCGACCAGCTAATTACGCAACTTGAACAAGAAAGTAGCTGAATCATGCTGCCTGGTTATCTCCTGGTAGCAGGAACTGTCATGTGATGTCAAAATTGAAGAAGTCACTCACTCTTGCTGCAAAACAGAAGAGAATCTGCATCTCAGATTCAAACAAAATTCTGTCCTATTCCAACATCAGATCCATAAAGGTACTGTTGACAGAACATTTCAAGTACTGTATTTCAGGCTATTTGGTTCTTTAAACCCTAGGTGTCTTTGTGAAGAGTTTTTTGCCATTTCACAGTGAACCACCAAAAACAGTGAGTCCTGAAGAGTTGTCCTTGAAGTCGCTTAGCCAAAATATCTACTGTTTCCAAGCTTTTCGGCAAGGCTCACTACAGGAGACCAAGAAAAAGGGGGTCTCGGGTAAGGCGGCATTCTGCAGGCCAGACCCAGCTCTAAGGAGTGTGGGTGCCATTCCCTACCCAGACATCTGTATTTGAAACCGCAAGGGATTCTTCTGGGGAAGGGGCAGTACCGAGTTGGAACCCAGGGCCTTCACACCAAGCTATGTCCTAGTCGTGTTTTTGAGACAGGGTCCCATTAAGTTGCTAAATTGTCCAGGCATGGCTCAAATTTGTAGTCCTCCTGCCTCAGCCTCCCAGAGTGCCAGGATTACAAGAACACATCACCCTGCCTAGCCCCTAAGTGAATCCTAGGCAGCAACAGCAGTAGGTAGAAGTTTCTGGGCAGCTAACACTGCCATGAGGGATATTTGGCCCATGTAAATCTGGGGGGCAGCGTCAACAGAGCGGAAGATTTAAGTGCTTTTTAGGCGCATGGCAATGAGGACTTAGCTTAAGGATGGGGTGGGAAGGAGAGAGAGAGATGGAAGTGAACAACACAAAAGAAAAATTGGCAGATTTGGAACCTGAGAGGTTCTGGAGAGGCAGTGGGAATTCCAGTGTTTGCTGAGAGAATTCCATTCACAGAAATCAAGGGAAGCTGATGTCAGGAGGAAGAACTGGATTTAAAAATACTGAATTTGGGGCCAGGGATTTAGCTCAGCGGTTTGGTGGCCTGCCTAGCAAGCGCAAGGACCCGAGTTCAATCCCTGTTACCAAAAAAAAAAAAAAAAAAAAAAAAAATTTAAATACTGAATTTGAGCGAGCAGTAAACTAGTGAAGTAAAAACAAGCAGCATCCAGTTAGAAATATAGAATTGAAGAAATGAACCACAAAAGCATACATAATCTCCCAAGGATCAAGAGAACAGAGGGTTAGAAATGGACTGTGGGAGGTAACCTCAGCACTGAACACCAAAGGTCCGAGCTGGGTCAGCTAAAAACCAAAGAGCCGAAGAGCTGAGTGAACTGAAGGCACCTTGGAGGATAAAATACAAACAAGACAGCCCTCTTTCTGGGCACCAAAGGCCTGGCAGCAAAAACCAGCCTCCCTACGATCTGTCACTTACACTATTCCAAAGACACAGAAAAGGCCCCGGTCTAGTTTTTCCTGACTTTCTGATGCCCACAGTGTATGGGGGACACCTCTCTTTTTATTCTAATAAACACGTATTCGGTTACTCCCCACTGCTTACTTCTCCAGTCTTGGTCACCTCAAAACAAGGACCAGAGCAGGCGGAAGCTGACTACACCACCCCGGCCTCCCAGTGAGAAGAACCTAGGTGACTCCTGGTGAACTGAAGGTGGAGGAAAAGGAGGGGGCAGAAACAAACTTTGGTGAACTGACAGCATCGGGCGCATTCTGACACGGTCTAATTCCTCACTGCGACCACAGAAGCCTGAGGCCCAGGGGAGACGCCTCACCACTGTGTTTCCAGAGTCATCAAACACCTGGGCTGGTCACAGGTGACTCCTGCGCCCAAGTCACAGCTTCCTCGTTTCTGCAACGGGCATTATGTCAGCAACTCCCTAGGCACCTCACGAGTTTAAATCCAATCACAGATAGCAGAGATGCTCCATCTCCCACATCCGCCATCAGCAAGGCTGATGGCAGGCAGGCTGCAAGTCTGTGCCCAGCCTGGGTAACCCACTGAGACATCTCAAAAGGAAACACAAAGAGGTCTGGGATGTAGATCGGTGCAGAGGTCCTAGGTTCAATGCCCACTTTCAGTCTGCATCAAGCAAATGCCTAGGAGTGCTGTGGGCTGGGAAGAAGAAAACAATGCTCTGGGCTGTGTGCGCCTCGGCTAAGGGCCAGCTGCTTGTTTCTGCTCAAACAAATCTAGATGTCTGGGGTCACCTTTTCAAGAGAAGGTAGAAGTTTAAACTCTTAAAAGTAAAGTCTCAACTTGAAAAGGCTGGTATGAAACTCAAATTTAGTTAAAACGGAATAGCACTGTGCATGGACCAAGGAACACTGGCTGCGGCCGTGCTGAGCCCCCACCGTCTGTGGCCTGAGGCTGGAAGGCAGAGGGATCTGAGATGCAACCAGGGCTCGGCCAGGCTCGGGCCAGGCTACTTAGCCTTGTGAAGACTCCAGAAGGAAGCTGGTCACGCAGTTACTGGAAGGGTCCATGAAGGGGAATGAACAGAACCAGAAGGCCAGTCTGGCAGGTGCTTACTTAAAACACCCGTTTCCCTTCATTTCCTTTCATCAGCATTGCTCTTTTCTGGTTAACCTAAGTCTGAGATCTCTGTCAGATTCAGGCCCAGTTCCCCCACTCTGTGGCCGTGAGCCCACCTTTGGGACAGCACAGGTCCACCAGAGGTGTAAGACAGGCGAAGGGTGAGGAGGTGTCAGGTGGTCAGTCCTGCTGTCCCCTGAGGCCACTGTGCCCAGGAAGGCCTACAGACTGCAGTGAGCATCGGAATCATCAGCGATGCTGTGCATTAGCTTCTTAAGGACAGCTGAAAGCTTTTCTTTCTTTTTTGGGAGGGGGGCACTGGGGACTGAACTCAAGATCTCTTCATTGTGCTACATTTCCCACCCTTCAATTTTTTTTTTTTTTTGAAAGAGGGTCTCACTAAGTTGCTAAATTGTCCCGGCTGAATTAGAACTTGTGGTCATCCTGCCTCAGCTTCCCAGAGTGCTTCGGATACAGGCATGCAACACCAAGCCCCGCTGAAGGAAAATTCTTAATTCTTAAAAGAGTTAAGAAAGAAACCTTGAGGTCACTTATGCAAGCGTTTATGTTAAGCGTTTAACTACCCAACAATCCCTGGGCGCTGTTAAACTAAATGCTAGAGCCCAGTGAATGAGACAGCTTGCTCTAGGACGACTCCTGGGACTCTTTGTGAGGAGTGGCAAAGCACTCACCCGCCATTTCTCTGCCCAAGTGGCGGGTGGAGGGGGTCCTAGTACTCAGCTGCCCAACATCTGGGCCCTCCTGGTGCACAAGGGACTTCGGTGGAGCCGGGTTCAAGTCCTCCCGGCAGGAGCCCCACCCTCTCCGCGGGCAGCACCTCGGCGACAGGGCGACAGGGCAGGGCCCCCCTCACCCACCTCCAGGTTTCGGACGGAGAGCTGCAGGGGAGACAGGAAGAAATA